ATATATACAGTATACATATATACATACATACAGTATACATATATACATACATACATACAGTATACATATATACAGTATACATATATACATACATACAGTATACATATATACATACATACATACAGTATACATATATACAGTATACATATATACATACATACAGTATACATATATACATACATACAGTGTATATATATACATACATACAGTATATATACATATATACATATATATATATATATATATATAATACACACACACACATATATACACACATATATATATAGAGTTATTATATATATTTCCCTATCTCTTTTTGATAGCATGCCATGTATTTCACAGTGAAGTGAAGTTAAAGCTTAAGTAAGTAAGTTTTTAGCATTTTATACCGCTGGACATGTCCAGCTTAAGCTCCTCGCTCAAAGGTACAACATCAGCAACCCCGCCAGCAGCTCCATGTCCTACCTGCTGGCCTTATTATAGGCAAACTGCAGCCTTCAGGTGAGAAATCCCAATTTTCCTTGTTAGATTCGGGCTTTCCGGTCGCCTGTGCGAGGGTCCCCGCTTCCGACACGAATCGCAAATTGCACCAGAACTGGGTTGCGGGGCCGGGTGTCTGCATGCAAAATCGCATTTCATGCAGATTAAGGAAGCAGAGACAGAAAGATGCAAACATGCCAGGAGGGGTCCGCCTTCGCCTTGTCAAATTTGTGAGTGCGGTGGGGGGCAGGGGAGGGGATGTGCTTAGGCTTCTCAGTGTGATTAATGTTATGTAGGAAACAGCAAATAATAAAGAGTTCTTCTCCATTCATCTATGCTTGACTTGTTCAGCCTGGACATGGCTGCAGGCATGAGGGGTGTCTGGGAACACAGCACTGGCCCTTTATAATATTGCTGCTTTATTGCTATTTTTAACAATCTCCTTAATAATGCTAAGTTCTGCTCACACCAATATAAAAGCCCTTTGTTACAGTTAACTGTGCTCAACACTTATGGCTTGCTTATGTTTCAGACATATACGTTAAATAGATGTTTTTATCTAAAGCAACATACAGCTATAGAAGTGGGGTTGGGCAGTTCCTAGAGCATTAGGAGTTAAGGGCTTTGTTCAAGGATGTAGTGGTGAACTTGGGATTCGAACTGACGACCTTCTGATCACATTCACTACATTCAAACATGCTGAGCTACACACAACCCCCCAAACGTTATGTTTGTAAACTCTGCTCTGTCACCACAGTAATAAGATGGCAAGCCTTTTGTGTTTCGTCATGCATATTATTGTAATACTGTACATATTACAAAACATGCCACAAAATGCATTGTGCTGGTTTCATGCATATATATGATGAAATCTAACATGAAGTCACCCAGTAGGCGCCTCTTAGATCTTCTCCACTTTACTGGGCAGAACTTTCCAGACCTTTACACATTTACGTTTACGCCGATTCGTTCGGCAGATGTCTTCGCCTTCTTCGTACAGGCAAAGAAGAGAGAGCACCGCCGGCGTACGGCTGTCAAAGAGCCGATTGGCCTTAAGTGCAGCTAGGCTGAGCTTCCAGTGAATGCTCAGGATTACAAGTGTAAGCAGGATTGGAGCAAGAGCAAAACAACATGTTACAAAAAACATGGCAAGAACCTAATAAGAGAGCTCTTGAAATCTAAGACAAGTACAAAGATACTAGAGCATTCAGGACACTTGAGAGATCAGTGCAGACAGCAGGACAGTGGTTGGATGACCTAGTTGAGGTGATTCCAGGTGGGTCTTGAGACATTTCTTGTAGGTAGAGAAGGGTCCTGACCCTGGGCAGCCCCTGTCAGTTTGCTGACTTGATTCTCCTCCTCGTTTACCCCTCACGGGATCTGAATGATGACCTCGCTCTGCACACAGCAGGCAGACATGACCCCCCCCACCGACACTCACACACTCGCTTCCCCTCCCCCCGCAGAGAAGCAGCTGACGGCGGCTAACTGCCTGGGCGTGCTGGCCATGGCCGAGGCGATGCGCTGCACGGAACTGCACAGCATGGCCAAAGCCTTTGCCCTGCAGAACTTCCCCGAGGTGGCTGCCCAGGAAGAGATCCTCAACATCTCTAATGAGGACTTCATCAACTACCTATCCAACGACAGCCTGAACACCAAGGCCGAGGAGGTGGTCTACGAGACCGTCATCAAGTGGATCAAGAAGGACCCCACCTGTAGAGTGCAGGTAATTGGCTCTTTATCAGAACCTTTCACATTAACCCAATTATATTTACATTTGTGTTAGACGTAGACTATTGGGCCATAATATGATGCATTTTGCATAAAAAATGCAGCAAAACTCCTTCAGTTCTAGTGGACTTTCCTTTCATTAGGATTCCGCTACTGTTCTGGGTTCTGGAATTTTACTCCAGTGGAATCAATATTCAGCAATCGCGGTTTCCCAGCGTTTTGCGTCGGTCGGTCTCTCTCCTCCCCTTGCTTTCTCCTCCGTTGGCGAGGCAGGTAATAAAATGAGCCCCGAACAGAGACGAGGCTCTCATTAAAAGGTATTGTTTTATGGTACTCAAATAATTTCTACCTTGACTCTTGGCACAATTTTTGATCAAAGTCAAATTAGTCTTTTACTGAATGAGTGCACATACTAAAACTAAAGATAACTATATTCTTCCTAATTACTTATTGCATAGTCACGGTTGCTCAAGCTTAATAACTAATTTAACTGGGACATGCACTTGTTACACTAATTTTACCATATTGTTTGAGTTATGGTATTGCTACACTTGTTCCTGGGTAGATAACATGGTTTGCAATTTATTTAATCTGCAGACACTGCTATTTAAAGTGATATATTTTTGAGAAGTCACAGAAGCAATTGGGAGATAGCGGCCTTGCTCAGGGAACCAACAATGAAATCAATATGCCAATTTCTAGAATTTGAACCAGCAACCATCTGATCAGAGGCACATCATCCTGACCCTTTGAGCTGCACGCAGCCCCTAGATGCAGGCCTCTTTCCACCTGGTTTTGATCTGAGTGCTTTATAGGTGTTAGGCAAACATTACCACTAAACTATGGGAACTACAGTCTTCATGAGAATTAAGTTGTTGTGCCCATGACTAAATCACCTCGGCTGCCATCAGCTGACCTCGTGACCTCCTGGATCCAGAAGTATTTGGCCTAGGACAGGGGACAGCTACCTGCGGCTTGCAAGCACAAGGCTCTTCTCAGAACGATAGACGCATTCACATCTTCATGTCTTAACATATTATGATAATACTTTCGGAAATATAAACACTTTATTTATGGGTTAATATTATTTTTCATTTAGATATTTCTTTAGCTATATGTGAATGAGGCTCCCGTGATGATAATTTATATCTTCCTCAAAGTCATTCTCTACGACGAGATTACGTCTCCGGCTTGAAAGTTTATTGGGATTTTGCACTGCTCAGTCAGCACAGTTACAAGCAGTGAAGTGGACAGCGAAGGGCAGACAACTGCAGAGCCAAACGAACTTGGGTGAGGGTGAAAACTATTGCTGCAGAACTGAACGATATTGTGATATTAGTCATCCTTGCGCTGTTATGTGTCCGAGTGATTTAAAACTGAGAGCCCCCCCCCCCCCCCAATTGTTTTTCTTTATTTTTTGTAAGTACTTGAAGTTTTGTTTTTGTGTTAAATGCATGTATACCAACATCGCATTAAAAATCGTATTTCAAACCCTCTTCTCTATCAGTTGCGGCTCTTTGTAAATCTTGGGTCAGACATTTAAGATAAAATGGCTCTTTGCTTTAAAAAGGTTGCCGACCCCTGGCCTAGGAGCTCTGCAATGAAGAGCCAAGACCCAGCCTCAGTCCTGTAAAACACCATGTAAGAGTGTATTCAGTGCATGTGTGCGGACATGACAGGAAGCATAGTGTGAGCTCTGCTCCTTTGAAGGTGGGAGATATTCAGCAGGGTGTGATGGTCAGAATCCTGCGTGGCCCGGAGAACAAATTGTGGGAGGGAGATGAGAGAGGCAGAGGTTTACAGCCAGTGGGGGTGGTAGCTTAGCAGACAGCACCATGAGGTTACACTCCAGTAGGTTGTGTGTTCCTGTCCTGTGCATGGAGTTTGCCTCTCCACCTTGTGCATGTGAACCACAATCCATAGACACGCGGTTCAGATAAATTGGTGTCTCGAAATAACCCTGGATGTCTGTGCTTACGGGGATGGATTCCAGGCTTGGTGCCCGTCTGCGATGGAGGTCAGTATGGAAAATGGATGGAAGGATGATGAGATAAAATAGGTGTAATAACTATTCATTTTGGTGGTGTTTTACGGGTTGAATTTTGTTTGGGATGATGTTATCAATTTGACAGTCATCCATCCGTCCATCTGTCTTCTAACTGTTCATTCGGGGTAGGATTTCTTCATACATACATACATACATATATATGTATATATGTGTGGTTGTGTGTGTGTGTGTGTATGTACATTTATTAATGCTGCAATATCGTAAAATAAATTGAGTATTCTAAAATATGGTAAAATAAAACTTAATAAAACAAAAATAATCTGCACACTTAATGCATAAATGTGCATAATGGAGGTTTTGATAATTAAATTGTTTGTTGTGGTTGTGAGGTTTTTTTTATTCCTTTATTGCTCTTCCTTGTTTAAGCGGTGTAGTTCCTTATACCTTAATGCTCGGCAATAAAAAGGTTTGGTTCAGACCCTAAATATGTTAGGAACTGTGTGGGATTTTCTGATATTAAAACCCGCCAAATATTAATGTGCAGACTATATAGATTTGAATTCTGTTTGACTGTTAAGCTAGTGATCTGGTGATCTAGAAGTTACCGTCTGATTTACACAGAGACAAGGTGGCATTTATAATGGGAGAACTGGATCTAATCTAAATGCAGAGGAAGATGGAGCAGCTTCTGTGCGGGCGGAAGATAAACAGGGAGAGTAATGTTACCTCACAACAATAAAAGGAGTTTTTTTTCCATATTATATGTACTTAGATTTTTGGGTAATTTTCATTAATGTGTCCATCATGTTTATACATGGTTCTGCTGTATCAAAATATTTAATTAGAAATTAACAGTGTGGAGAAAGTGATCACTGTCCTGTTAAAAGCTAATTTACTTTCTCAGTGGAGAGAGTACAGCGATATTGTTAAAAGTTATCAAACTGTGATTGATGTGGCTCTGTGAAATGTGGACTCAGTCTTCCATTCACTTATTATGAAGATTAAAACGTACATGTTAAGGTAACTTGGTCAGGAAAGCTTGATGATCCAGCCCCGGACTTAAAGACGAGAGTGTCCTGAATGTAAAATCCATACTGATAAAAACACGCAGCGATTTCCGTGCCCACAGATTTACCCTGGTAAATACACACCTTCACCTGCAACACAAAAATTAGGTGGGAAAATCAGTACATCAAGGTGCGTCACACTAATTATACTTTAAGGACAAATACTGGATCTTTCTAGTATCGACTAAAACAATGTCACTGCTTGATTTTAAGCTCTAAATTTAATCAGACAAAAAAGCCTAAATGACGGATTACCCTGAATTAATCTGAATCACAGCACAGTAATACAGAATATTTCCATTTTGAAAGGTGAAATCGTCAGGTCATAGGCCATGCAGACTAAAAGAGAATCATATATTTGAAAAGGTTCATTAATTCATTAATATAACAATTCACAGCATCTTCGTGTAAATTTTTCACGCAGGGGTGAAGTGTAGCTCAGTGGGTTTGGACTCTGCGTCAGGGATTGGAAGGTCGTTGGTTTGAAGCCCTCAACACCAGGGGTGCTGGATCATCAGCTGACCCTAGGCTCCTTAAAGAAGAGTATGATGGAATTTGAATAATGTATAAACTGAAGTGTTTGAAGGTGTTGAAGCTGTGAAGCAGCCATGAGCTTCATTTTCTCTGCTGACTCAGCACCAGCCACACTGATTGCTGGGTGACCAGCACCCAGATCTGCTCCTGATATTCAGGTTTACTCTGGGTCTTACAGACAGAATGCAGTGCTTTAACTGAGGGCTGCACAAAAAATAGCAGGACCTGAATCCAGGCCTCTTTGGATTGTTTCAAAACAGCAACTGAGAAGGGAATTTAATGAAAATCTCCCTGCTTCTCCACAGCTGCCTTTTCTAAAACTTTTACGCAACATAATAACTCAGCTAATGTAAGTGGTCCCCTCGTTAAAAGATTTAAAATTCAGTACTCAGACTGTTGGCATTTTAAACTAACTAAATTAATATAGAGAATCCAGAGGGAAAACAACTGAAACATCAGAAAAATGGAAGTTGCAGAGCTCGCTGAAACATAAACTGTATGCTTCAGACTTTAATAAGCCGCTGAAAACGTGAGCTTAGTCTCAAGTAGCTGAGGAGGTGGGGAGGAGAGCAGATCTGTACAATAAAAGCAGGTAACGTGCATATTAGCAGCATGACAAGTATACAAACAGTTTGACATTGGATATCATCAGCGGAATATATATACTGGAAAGTTATGCTGGATGCTGATGACACGTCATTAGAAGTGTGTGTGCATACATAACACTCCCACAAGGGCAACTACGTCTAGTGCTTCACGTGGCTGTAAACACAAGCACGGCCTCGCTGTTGTGTTTTCTCTGAAATTACATCAACGGCTCGGCCTCTGGGTACCGCGACCCGACGGTCTGTAGGAAAACCGCGGCCGAATGACTTCTGGAGAGGAAATGCCATCCTCAGTTAGCCTGACGTGTCACTTTACGGTGGAACTTCCAGAAAGTTCCCACGTCTTACGAAAGCCCCCCCGGCGGCAGAAGCGTTTCCCCAGCCCATTAAAATGCATATTTGATCATTCGCTCTACTGGGAGGAGAAGGTGCGGCACAGGTTGACCTTCCACACTGAGATACATTCATTTCAAAAGGTCGAAGGAATGGCTACTGGCCCTGTGACAGGAACCTCAGTCTTCACACACCTGCAAGAGAGGGGAGGGAGAAAAGCGACACAAATGGACCCTACAAAAAAACAGAGCCGATCGACAGCTGGAGGAAAGCAAACCTTTTAACCAGGTCCTTGAAATACAAGCTGCAGGAAGCTAGAACATTTTGGTGGACTTCAAACTCTTTGCCTTCAACAATGATTTTCAGGTCTGCAGACTCTTTCGCTCTGCCCTGCTGGTTCAATTCCTTGTAGAACAAAGAAACAAAAGAAACAGACATTGCTATGTTT